CTTAGGGCAATTTCCACCAGCTCTTGCACACTGTAACTTGTAATGGGCAATTGGCACTGGAAATCAATCTATCACAGGAAAATCGAGGCTGGGAGTACCAAAGAATGCTTTTCATGTATAATAAAAAATTCTTGCTTTCATAATTCCGCTAAGAAGAGAGTGTTATTATATATTAAGATAAAAAAATAAAAATACCTACAAAAAAATCAGCCAAAGGCACCAAATATCTTAAAATAAAAAAAATAATAAAAATACCCATAGTGTTATATGAATTGATACAAAAATGATCAAACCATTAATTTTAACCTAACGCTGACTATGCATGTCACGTGTCAGTCTTTGCTGACGTGAACTAATAAAAGGGTAAAAATACTCATAAAATCATTGACCAAGAGTAAAAATATCTATAATGTTATTAGAGTTGGTGTAAAAATGACCAATCCATCAAATGTTGATCGTTTAACTAATACTTAAGCAGAAATTGATTTTTTTTGCTGATATAGACAAAAAATATTTCCAGATAAATTTTTATAGATGATAATTGATCATTGTATGAGCACCCATAATGTTACTTTAATAGATGCAATAATGAGTAATCTATCAAAATTCATGTCACATGATTTCTTTCCATTGTCATGTCTCTTGCCCCCTTCTTTCCTTCCTCTCTAATCATTTTTCTTGTTTATAAAACCTAAGGTTTAATATAATGAGATAGGTTGTACACAATTAAAAATCAAGATTGAGCACACCTCCTACGCCGCTTTATCTTAAGAATATTGTAATAACTTTAAGTAATTTCATTTATGATAGGTTCAAAATTTTCAAATGGTTTTTGCCATTACTGCAAAGAAACAAATTATTTAATTTGATATTCGGTCAAAAAGAAATTTTCTCATATGACCTTCATACAATGACTGATTAGCCTTTAAAGAATTTTATATAGGAATTTTTTCCTCTATGTCAGCGAAAAAATGGTCAATTTCTTTTTAGGTGTCAACTAAACGGTCAACATTTAAGGAATTTGATGGATTGGTCACTTTTGCACCAACTCTGATAACTTTATAGATATTTTTGCTCCTGACTGACGACTTAATGGATATTGCCCTTTTATTAGTTTACATAAACAAAGACTGACATGTGGCATGCACAGTCAGTATTTAATGATCAAAGTTAATAACGTTAGGTTAAAAATAACGGTTTGGTCACCTTTGCACTCACTCATATAATGTTATGAGTATTTTTTCTCTTTTTCTCACTTTAGGATACTAAGTGCCCTTGACCCACCACTTTATGAGTATTTTTGCCTTTTTATTCTATATATTATTTATAACATTCAACATATATGTTATGTTCTTTTAACTCAGCTTGGGTAGAACGAATTAGAATTTCTTTTATTAACTTTAATTTTTATTGGATTTAATTTTATCGTTTGACCTTTTAATTGTTCTCACTCGTCGCCATTAAACCAGCTCCTCTTGTGTGCGGGGGTGTTCCTGAAATTTGAAAGAGGTGACTCATGGCTTCTCGAGATAGCCATATTTTTTTGGTTGACGTGAAGTATAAAATATTGAACCCATTGGATCAAGTTACCATTATGTACTCTCCCGGTTTATTTATTTGATTTTTAAAATATAAAACATTACAATAAAAATATTATTTTTTAATTATACTTGTTCTTATATTATTTTTCCCTCTTTATTACTTCCAACATTTAAAATCATAAGACATTTTTAATTGAATCTTACCCTCCAAAAAAGTAATTAACTACTCTTAAACTAACCCTATCTTTTTATATTTACTATTATTAAACATTCTACAATAAATATAAAGTCATTATTAATTGAGATATTTTTTTTAAAAAAGACAATGATTACACCTTAAAAAATTAAAAATTCGTTACATTTTTTAACATCCAACTCTTTAAAAAATATCTTATATTTTTAAACGGAGGAAATATGTGTTGTCTTCCTATTTAATGTTTTACAAATAAAGTTATACTAAAAGAAGACAATTTTTTGAAAATTTATATTTGTGTTTTGAAAAAAAATAAGATTGTAAAATGTATTTAATAAATTTTATTTGTATGTATAATTTTATCTAAAAATATATTATATAAATTAGAATAGATGGAGTATCAATTATTATTGTAAAAATAAAAAGTTTGATATATAAACTTGTTCTCAATTATTCATTCACTTCCCAAACTTTAACTTGAGTTTTTCCCAAACTTTAACCTGAGTTTCTTATAATTTCTTGACATGGAACAGTTCAATACTTGTAATTTTTTGAATCAGTACAACTCAACTCCTATACTTCCCACATTTAAAAATATAAAATATTTTTTAAAAAGTTAAATGTTAAAAAATATAAAATATTTTTAGTGTTTTAAGGTGTAATAATGACTTTTTTTAAAAAATAACTTTAATGAATAAATTAATTTACATTTATTTTAGAGTAAAACATCTTATTAAATAGGGATAAATGAAGACAAATAACTAATTTATTAAAAAATAAAATTTAATTAAAAATATCTCATATTTTTTAACAAAATAAGTAATTTATTACCTCAATAATGCAAGAAATAAGTTATATTAAGTTAAAGTTTAAGGATTTAAAAGTTATATATTATCTCTTTATTATAATCAGATTTTGATATTTAGTTCTCTATTATTTAATTTGTTGTGTTGTCTTTGTTCAACCGTGTTGTTTGGAATATAGTTCAACATTGGGTTGATCTACGCGTTTCAATTTCATACAAAACAAAACTGTCTGTCGTGTATGTCGTGTACTCCTAGCTTCCTAGCTTTGGAGTATCTTCTAACCTGATCCACTAACCTTTTTTTGTAGCTTCCTAGCTCTTCCATTGGTGGCCAAAATGAGAGGACTTTTTTAATTTTCTCAATATTCATTGAAATCTCTGTCTGCACTTGAATAAAAAGGATGTTTATTTTCATCGAATAATGATAATAGATTTTTGTCAACTTTTCTATTCTCCTGATCCTGAATCATCCATTCTCTTGTTTCTTATTAGAAAGCTTGTCCCAATCATAAGTCAAGTTGGTTTGTTTAAACTTCAAAAATAAGTGATTTATTTCATATTTATAGTAATGCAAAAAGGTTATTTATTATTTAAATATTTCATGAAAATATTTTTTTTTAATTTAGTAGCAATGTTTAAACTAATTTCATATTCCGTAAATTTTAGATTTTATAATATCTATATGTATTTATCTTTTCACTTAACTACCCTCCTTATCTTTGTGCAGGTAGATAATACCGAACCTATATTATGAACTAATGGAATACTGTACAGTGTACAATAAGATTTGGTTTGGATAGGGAGAAAAGTGAAAATGAGGAGAAGAAATTTTTAAAAATAATAAATTTTCTAATTATATTTTTAAAAGTTTGCTCTCATAGTTTTCTGCTAAGGGTAAGAGGAAGGAAAACTGATGGAAATGGTTTGAGTTTGGTTTGTAATTTTTCATAATCATATACTTTTGTCTTCAATCCATTCTCATATTTATTTCATCAGATTAAAAATCTTTACTTTTCCACCAAAACAGGGAGAAAGTTTTTGTGTGATGCAATCAAAGGGGAGTATCATGTGACTGTGAGACGTTGAAGGTTGCTGTTTTTTATCTATTAATTAATTTTGGATTCATGGGACAATAAAAGCATACAGCATGTGATTTTGTTTTTGGCCAAAAATTGGGCATGTGATTTTGAAATTAATCTTCTCTGGGATGCTCGTATGGTCAAAGCTCCACATGCTGTTGAAAGACTATTCTACCCTCACTATATATGAATATAAATCCATGGGAGAAGTATCATATAAAAAATTAATTATTACAAGATTTATTAATAACTGAATTAAAAAAAATTACAACACAACTATTATTTTTTTAGTTCAATTATTAATAAATTTTATAATAATTAATTATTTTGTATAGAACTTTAATATAATTCTTTCTAAATCAGTTGTTCCACATTTTGGTCAAAATGTCACGTCCTGTTCCTTTGATGGATTTTCCAGTTCGTCAAGAGTTTGTTTGGAATGAATAAGATAAGCAAAGGAATCATAAGAATTTTTTTTTAAAAAAAAAAAACTCTCTCTTATCATAACATGGGATGCTTTTTCAGTTTTTCCCCACTCTATCAACCCACTTTATGATTTACCAAATACATTTACAAAAAAAATCTTTTCTTATTTCTTTTTCTCCAAATAACTTTTTCACATCGCTGGCAAAATCACCCGAATCAAACGTGAATGCCTTTTAATGCAATGTACCTTGCCAACAATGCACTTCAAAGTTTGGATAGAGTCATTGACATTGACTTTTCGAAGGGATTGGTTTTCTACTCATTCATATCTGAATCATTTAAATTTTAATTTAGATGGTCTAAATTTAAAATATTATTTTATATTATATTTATTAAAATAAAAATTATAAAATAAATTTAATAATAAAGATAAAAATAAAAAATTTTTAAATTTATTTTATAATTTTTATTTTAATAAATATAATATAAAATAATATAATAATACTTTAAATTTGAACCATTCAAACTAAAATGTGGATGGTTTAGATCTCATCCCAAAAATAAGCACCAATTTCCTTTTTAAATAATACTAAAAATATGCATTAACGATTAAAGAGCATTCAGCTCATCGAGTTCAATAGGCAAGAAGGATCTTTTATCATTTTCCAACCCTTGTAGGAGTGTTGGAGGATGCTCAATAGTGCAAAAATTATCATGACAAGTGCAAGAAAACTTAATCAAGTCTTGAGTTTGATAGACATCAATAATTAAATTATTGGTGGAAAGTATGTTTTTTAAGCAAGTATTCACAAACTATTGAGTAAAATTAATCTGAATTTGCAAGTTATCTATTAAATTAGTTTAGTTGAAAGATCTAGAATATCCAAATAAAAAAAAGAAGAAGAAGAAGAAGAGAAAGAAAAAACTTCTGAACAAAGTAAAAATATCCCAACAAAGAAAACAAGAAATACTTGCATAAACACAATTTTATATTGGAAAATCAAGTTAAACTAAATTGCTAAAGGACGTTTTCTTGATTTAAGCTTTGATACGATTCGAATTTGAAAAACACAAATGACCAAAATAACCCCAAAAAAAATTACAAAATTTCTTATATACTTTTGCACTCTATTTTTCGATCCTGATATACTTGTAGACGAACACGGTCATCGATCACTTTCGCCTGCCTTAATAGAAAAACACACAATTAATTAATATTTAATTGAATCATCGTCATGGTCATCGTCATTGTCATCACGCTGGATTAACAGTTCTGGAACCGCCGATGCCGGGTAACTCCACAGTCAGATCACCATCTTCTTCCTCATTCTCCCTGCTTATCTCTTCCAACGATTTGCCTTTAGCTTCTGGAACCAAGAAAGTGAATAACATCCCAACAAAGTTAATGACACCGAGCATGATCAGAGCATTCTTCATCCCAATCCCAGGTGGGTAACCAGCGTCAGTCTTCTTTGGATCCTTGCTCTGTGCAGCATACAAGAACCCGAATGCCCCCACGATCGCTCCGGCCTTCCCCGCAGCCGCCGACAGCCCATGGCAGGTGGATCGCAACCTTGCCGGGAAGATCTCGGCCGGCACGACGAAGGTGGTGGCATTGGGACCGAAGTTAGCGAAGAAGAAGGTCAAAGCGTACATCACAAGGAACCCTATTCTGTTCTCTCTTTTTGTCCAATGATCGTAAGGAATCGCGAGGGCGAACATGAACACAGTCATGAAGAAGAAACCCATTAGTTGGATGAAGAATCGTCCCAAGATGTCTATGAATGCCACGGTGAACCAGTATCCCGGCACGGTGCCGCACAGTGCGATGAGTACTTGTGCTCTTGCGACCCTGTAAACTTCATGAATCGCATTCATTTCCGCCGCCGGAGGAAGCCATCCGACAGCTGTATAAATATCTTTCTGGAAAAGATTTGAACTGTAGTATGCAATATCCAGTAAGAACCAGGTGGTACATGTTCCGAGCAAGTGAAGTCCATGTCTGCGAGCGAATTGCTTACTGAACAGTCCGAAGCTGTTGCCGTCTCTTTCCGATGATTTTATCGGCTCATCGGCCTGAAGTTCTACTTGGAGCACTTTTGACATGTCGAGAGCCGCTTTTTTTGCGTTCCTGGCCACGAGAGCGGTGTACCTCGCCGTCTCCGGCATCTTCGCTCGCGAGTAGAAAGTCATGGCTGCCGGAACTGCTCCGAACATCAGAATTATCCGCCAAACGTAGTCGGCTTGAGGTGGAAGAGAAGCTGCCGCATCAACATTGTACGGCGGAGCCTTGTAAGCGTGATCGAACGCCGTGGCGACGATCAGAGAAACAATTCCTCCGACCAAAATTCCGAACCCTGAAGAATCACAAGTACCAAATTTGAAAAAGCTTTAAAACATGCTAAACATTAATACATGTGTATATTGATTGGCACAAATAAAGGCGACTAATTTAGTGCTCAAAGTATGGCAAACCTTGCATAGCAAAGACGGCGGCGATAAACGCTCCGCGAGTCTTCTTGTTGGCGTACTCCGACATGATGGTGGCGGAGAGAGGGTAGTCGCCTCCGATACCGAAACCGAGCCAGAATCGGAAGAAGCAGAGAGTGGAGATGACACCTTTTGGGGTGTCACCAAAAGATAGACCAGAAGCGAGCGAGGAGATGACCATAAGAGCCAGAGTCATCCCGTACACTTTCTTCCTCCCCATCTTGTCACCGAGCCACCCGAAGAAAATTTGACCGGCCAACGTCCCGCAGAGAGCGACGCCGTTGACGGCCATGGACACGTTCGGCGGCAAACTGCCGGGCTTTTTCGAACCTTCCTCGGTGTAGTATATACGTCCCAACAACTTGGTAACGTTGGCTATACTGAAGAGATCGTAAGCGTCCGTGAAGAAGCCCATGCCGGCGATGACGATGGCGGTGAAGTGGTACCATTGCGTCTTGGCCACATCGAGGGCGTTAAGCACGCTAGTCTGTTCGCCCGCCATAACCAAGAGACCAGCGAATCGTCAAGAATCCTGACGTTGTTACAAAAACCTGTGTTTCAATTATATATATACATATACATACATACATATAGATATATATATATATATATATATTAAATATAAAGGATCGAGTACATTGGGCTTGTATTATTTAAAAAGAACATGCCATTTAACTTTGCTGCTTGTTTGAAGCCAACTTGTGTGTGGGCTTGACTTTTGCTTTAATTATTTTGAAGGCGAAGACTTTGACATATACAGCATGATAAAGGCCATTTTTCAACAAACTTATTGAGTATGTGTATAATTTTCCATGCCTATGCTTTAAATCATAATTTTATAACAATGTAAATTGACCATTATATTTTTTTTCAAAAGATTTTTTTTTATAGGACTTTAAGATCGGGTCATATTCAACCATTATTGTTGAGCTCAATTGAGATAGCTCTCCCAATAATATTTCCTACATTCACACGATCTCAAACTCAATTCTTATACTCTCCACTGAATCAACGCCTATTGGTTGGTTTTCTAATAAAGTAAGAATGTGTAACAAACTAATTTCTCTTTTTTATATGCACTTTTCTGTTTATAATATAAATCATTTTCTAGAAAATCAAGAATTCAAAATATAAAGCATTGGATAATTATTTATTATTTGTTTTTTTTAAATAGACCATTGGAATTTCAATTGTCACACTTATATAAAGACTAGAGCATTTAATAAGAGTATAATTAAAAAGAGATAAAAATTTATTTAAAAATTAAAATTATAACAACAAATATATTTTTTTTTAAATCGTGTAGTCAATACCTTATATATTAATCATTTATTAATCAGATGGCAGTATGTGAAGCAGTAGTGTGGAAGCAGGAAGAAGGGTGGAAAAAGAGAGAAAAGCAATATTGTGGGGCAGTGAGAGAGGGAAGAGAGAGAGAGAGAAGGGGTCAAAATTATCAGGTAGCGAAGGGAAACAGAATAATAATTTGGTAAGCATCAATCAAAATAATAATAATAACAATTTGGTAAGCATCGGCGACCATACACAGTACTTTCACTTCCTTATCACCTTCTTCTAGATTAGCCCCACATATTGTGACTGTGAGCCTCATGCTATTCACTCATTTATTTTCCTCCAGAGTTACTTTCACTGTACATGGAACGGGATTATATTCTCTATATTCACTTTCATGCACACACAGAGAGAGAGAGAGAGAGAGAGAGAGAGAGAGTTACCTGGTTCATACAAAGACGAAGAAGCTCTGAGAGAGAGGAAGTGATGAAGTGGTTATGTTTGTTATGGTGTGGATGTGGATTGGATGAGGGATAGGTTTGAATGTTGTGTGGATATATTTTGAAGAGGAAGAGAATATACCAAGATTATTCCCCCGATGTTGAAATCTTTTTCTTTATTATTCAAAGTCAATCAAAACACAACGCCTAGCAAAGATCTCCAGCCACTTGTAACTTCTCTTCATCGTGCATGTTCACATCATATAGTACAATTCATCCATCTCCATCCATGTACACGCCTAATAATTCACTTTATTCATCCACAATTACTTTACCATAATCTTCATTTTCCTTCTAGTTTAATTTTAATACTATAAGTTCTATATTTCTATTTGTATCATTAATACACACACGCACACACACATTATTAAGAAAAAATCACCTGGTACTTAGCCTTATGTATGTTTTTTTTTAATATTCAGGCTCACAATTTAATCTTTTTCTTAATGCTCATAATTAACCTTCCTATATTAAAATTTCTAACCAAAACTAAAAAAAAAATCATTTCTGCATATTTACGTCACGTATACAACACTCCTTATTCAGCTAAAGGATTAAATGATTCGTGGCTTTGTCTTCCTAGGTTCCCAATATCAAAAATTCAAAATCTTGTCCTCTTGCTCATTGTAAGTTGTTTGATAATAGGATGAATACCCCCCCTTAAAATTCATAGTTTTGTCTCCATTTTCCACATATACTAGTTTCCTACAATGCCAGCTCTGCAGGAAAAAAAGGAAGGGAGAATGATAAATAAAGACCTTATAAAAATATTAATGTCAAATAAAATTTTGCAACACTGATGTTCCAAAATTTTAGTACTTTTTCTACTATATTTCAATAGTAAAATTCTTATTTTGACATTAATATTTTTATAAGGTTCTTACTTGTCATTCTCCCAAAAAAGAATCCAATATTTAATCTATAAACATTTAAAAAATAGAGTTATTTAGGGTTGTGCAACAGGCCGGACGAGCTAGCCCGTAGGGCTGCCCATAGCTCATCCCGTTTTGTCCAAAACGGGCTATGCCAGCCGGTACCCGTTTGTAGCCCATTTAAAAACGGGTTGGGCGGGCTGCAAACAGGTCTAGGCAAGCTAACCAGCCCGTTTTGGACAAACAGCTCCCAATTTGCTTTAAAATAAAAAAAACATTCTATACTTTAAAATTCTTTTAATTTTGCTTAAAAATAGTTCAAATATCACCATTATCAAAGGAAATAAATTTCAATATTAGCAGTTACATATTACAATTACTCAAGGCTCTAAGCATCATCAATCTTCAAAACACAACATTAATCAAATCAAAGCAACCACACAAATTGACAAATGGTCTTACCATAAGGCACAAGCAAAAAGCAACAATCTAACACAAATAGTCTTGTCACAACTCATAAGCCAACAAGACAACAAAACAACTAAACAATCAGTCACATTTAATCTTCCATTGGATCATCATCATCATCATCATCTTCAGAATCACTAGAGATGGTTGAATGTTGAGCCCCTGATTCTTCCTCTACAAAACAAATTGAGAAAATGATATTCATTAATATTTGAACAATGTGAACTGTGAAGTAATATAAAGTGAAAATGTTAATGAAATTACTAACAACAAGATTGTTAGACTCATCAAAATTATCAACATCAAACTCTTTCAATTTTAAAGTAGGTTGAGAAAGCCAACTTTGAGCATAAATGAGTGCCTCAACCATCTTTGCAGAGAGAGAGCTCCTAAAAGTATCCAATACTCGACCTCTTGTACTAAAGGCAGATTTTGAAGAGACAATAGAGACAGGTGAAGCCAACACATCACGTGCAATCAACCTCAAGACCTTATACTTGAAAGCATTCACTTTCCATCAAGCTAAAACATCAAACTTTAGATCATGAAAAGCAACTAACTGGGCGTGAAGATATTCATCCACCTCCGAATTTTTTTCTTCTTGGAGTTTAATGCTTGCAATTGTATAGAATTGTCTCATTATTTCATCATCCATGACAGCCAAGACATCATCATCGGGAATTGAATCTTGATTCCCCCCAACATTGTCATCATCGTGTTCCGCTCTTACTTGAGTTTGAGAAGCTTCACCATTAAAGACATCCTTCGAATATTCACCATATAAGCTATACAAAACATCCATGATATTTTTTGTGAACTAGCTCACATTGTATAGGCTCAGAATACATATTTTCCAAAGCAACTTGGACATATTTAAATTTGTATCTAGGGTCTAGTATCACTGCTATCACCAACAACAGATTCATGCTATCTGCCTTACCCCAATATTTATCCAACTTACTTTGCATTCTTCTTACCATGTCACCCAATAGAGTACTAGAATTAGTTGCACTTGTCTTAAGCTTGGTTTGCATTGCAACTATTTGCTGGAAACATGTGTTAGATGTCACAAAATTTGACGCAGAAAACTTCAATGTCATGGAGTAAAATAGCTTCAAGAAGACTATAAACTCCTTTGTAACAACCCAATCATATGGACTAAGAGGTTCTTCTTCAACTTTCTTTTTGAAGCATTCATTGTAATCTTCATCTTCTTCTTCCATCCGATCAAAAACTTTAATGAACTTCACAGCATTTTCCAACATAAGATATGTTGAATTCCACCTAACAACATAAACAAAGCTCAATTAATATTAGAAAAGTAAACATAAATTAACAATTCATAACAATAATTAAAATTACCTAGTAGGACAATCCATACTAAGTAGACTTTTTGAATCAATTCTTTGCTTTCCTATGAGCTCCTTGAATCTACGCAGCCTAGCCGAAGAAGATCTAACAGATTTTATCGCATGCCGAATGAGTTCAATGGACTTATTCATCTCCTTCAATCCTTCAGAAACAATCAAATTCAAAATATGAGCAGCATACTGCATATGCATATACTCTCCATCATATACAAGGCCATTCCATTCCCTCAAGCATTTTTTTAACTATACAATTGCAGTGTTATTGGAAGAAGCATTGTCAATTGTAATGGTAAATACTTTGTCAATATCCCAACTAAATAAACATTCCTCAATTTTCTTCCCAATGGTATCTCCTTTGTGGTTTTCAATTACAGAAAAATTCAAAATCCGCTTTTATAATGTCCAATTCTCATCAACCCAGTGAGCAGTCAAACACATGTAGTTGGCATTTTGGATTAAAGTCCAACGATCTGTGGTGAGGGACACACGAACTTTAGATTTCTTAAAATATTTCTTCAAATATCTTGCTTCTTCAAGATACAACTTATAATAATCCCTAGCAACTGTCCATCGTGAAGGGATTTGAAATCTAGGCTCAAGTCCATGCAATAGATCTTTAAAACCTTCCCCTTCCATAACTTAAAAAGGCATCTTATCTTTTACAATAAATTTTGCAAGATCCTTCCTACACCTCTCTTGATTGAACAATTGTGTAGACATTGTTTGGCTACAAGTAATAGAGAATAAAAATTGTGTCATCTTGTTGGCTTTATTTCGATTCTTTGGGCACTTTTCAAAATGCCGCCCAAGTGATTTAGTCACATGGTTGGAAGGATGACTCGCATAATCCATACCACAATAGTTGCATTTGGCATGGTGCTTCCCGTTAGTTTGCTCAAGTGGCATCCTTATAAAATGCTTCCAAGCTTCAGATCTTTGCTTCTTCCTTTTCCTAGCCGGTGCTTGTTTTTGTCCCTCATTGTTTGTGGCATTCTCTACTCGAGTAGTGGGACTGTGTGATATCGCAGTAGCATTAGTTTTAATAT